TCTATTATCCTCCACGCGCTTATCAGATCGGCTTTTCTGAATAGATCATTTGCATTCGCGCTTCGCGATCGACGCATGTTTCGTTCGTGAAGAAAATGGAAGGGGCCGATATCCCGTGACCCCGTGTGTCGAATCAGCGCCCTCCATCAAAATCTTGCCACACCGAATAACGCGCCACCGTGATAACGCATCGTACGATGATTTCGCTGACCCCTCGCGAGCCTCTGCTGAGCGAGCCTCTGCTGAGTGAGCTCTGCGTGGCTCTGTTACTTTGTTATTATGACATTTGACATATCTCACCCCGTTTTTCATTTTTTTTCTTCTCCCGCGATCATACGACGGAAATTGCTCGTAGAAATCATTCCTCGGTCGCGTGCGCACTCGCGTGTTAGCACTAAGTTGAATGAATGAAAGAATAAATATCACGAGTACGATTGCATTGGTTATACTAATTGCTTGAAGAGCAGTTCACCTCTGACCTTAGCGACTCTTTTCCCGCGGTTTTAAAATAATGGAGAAGTGAAAAAGTCAGACACGACCCTGATCTAAACAACTTTCATCTCGGTTCGTAAATAATGCCGAAGAGGCAGAAAAATCGGATGACCCTAATCTGACCTAAACAACTCTCATCTCGGTTTGGAAATAATCGGAGAGATAGAAAAATCAAACACGAGCAACCCTGATTTGACCTAAACAATCATCAACAACTTTCATCTTGGTTTAGAAATAGTATTTCGCAAAAATTACACACATGAAACTCAATTTACAACACTTTGCAATCTATTTTCACAATCTGAACCTAAATTTATTTGAATACGTAGTTTAAATATTTAGTGACATACGAATATTACATGCCGAGTTTTACGCAGATCTGATTTTTTATTTATATGCCTACTTTAATATTTTATTTGAAATATACGAAGCCCAGTAAAAAATAAGATAAGATAAATTTAGTCAAGATAACCTACACACAATTGAAAGAGATAATCTAAAACGATATTGATAAACTAGATAACTTCATTTCAAAATCATCGTACACTATATTAATTTTATATATATGCTAAAATATGTTAGACTGTCTAGCTGGAATAATTTAAATAATACAATGTACAGCAGCAACTTGTGCAACTGCTATATACATTGATTAGAATATCAATAAGTTATAGACTACAAAAATCGTGCGTATGCATGCGCGATTTGAATAAACTAAAATGTAGCTGTGAATGTCTAGCTTGTTTAACTTATCAACAATATTGAGTTTAAAGTAATGTTAACAGAAACAGACATTAATTAACATGATATGAAAAAAAATGTGAACAGTTGTTATTGAATTTTATACATGAATAATTATATTCTCCTAATTAGACGAACTTAGTGAGCAGATTAACTAGGGCAGAATTTTGATGAGGCAATCATTATGTGACATAATATTAAACCATTGGTCTCCAAATAATGGAATAATAATTACGCAATCATACGCAAACACAATATTAAATATTTCAGTATAAAATTTAGTATAAAAGCACGCATAAGAAAAATTTGTTATTATTTGTGAGAACATTTTACAATTTGGTAGCATTGCTAAAATTACAAAAACAAGGATGAATTTTTGCAATTCAACCTGACATTAGCATTTTCGCGTATTTTGCAATATTTATCAAACGTTATCTTCTCTTATCGGTGTACACCGTGCTGCAATTACTCTGCAATTCAGCCTTGAATAAACACACGTAAACCTTCGTATAAATATACAGAGTGTCTTTCTCATTATTGTACGATTAATTTAATAAATATCGAGATAATATTTTCACACAACTAATTATTAAAATACATTAAACAAGAACATTAAGGATACGTGAGAAAATTATTCTTCAGTTAATTTTAACATATCTTCACTTTAATGAATTTGCAACGCAAAATTTAATTCTAACAGTATACAACATAAGAAATTTGAATGCTGCAATAAATAATAACCTCTCTGCATATTTTTATGACTGAAAGATTATCTACAAAGGAAGATGCGGTTAGGAGAGAGCATCCGGTGATTCTGAGCCACCCAGTGCAATTGCTAGTACTTATAATCATCGCGTAACGTTCGTTCGCGAGTACCGACGCGGCAACCGAAGAAAACGTCGCTTCTCCATCGAGAAATTAGTTCTACTGCAGAGGAGCAAAAGCGAGATTTTCTTTCCTTGGTAAATTCAATCGTGTCTCGGCAAATATTAGCATGATTCGCCGGAATCGTCAGTTCTACATTAGCTGTGCGCGGAACAGCTGCGTTGGAAAAGTTAGAAGGAAAGTTAAAGCCCCGAGTGAAATGGAAGTATAGTGCTTCTCGTAAATTCTCGAAAGAGGAAATGGAGAAAAAATTGCGAGCTGCAATTTCTATGCAAATTGATAAGTCGCGAGTAGCGCCGCGCATTGATCAAAGGTCAAGTGTAAATAATTTAAAAAACGTATTTTATAATTTATGAAGATTGTGGTAGAGATATAATGAAATGTAAATGCCTCCGAGAAAATGTCAAATAAATAATTAAATTCATCTCGGAGTAGAAGAAATAAATTTGATGACTTTCTCTCTTAAACTTTTCCCGCGTATCTGTCTGCTGATAATAAAATATTAAAGTTCTAGAATTTAAAATTAATAATTAAAAGGTAATTTGAATATTCTGTAAAAGTTATTATTAAACATTCATTAATTCGTGATTTTAAAGTGTTCAAAGTTGCATAAGAAACATAATATAAAAATCATTATTTGAATCGCAAAAAATCCGCGATAAGGATAACTCCCTCGTTAAACTAAATTATTTCTATTATTCTTGAAAGTCGATATTCCTTAAACGGTAGGTTGTAATAAGTTATGGTAAACGATAAAAGCTTTCTTTGTGACTTTGCCGCCTTATCACAGTTGCGTATGCATAAAGTGTCGAGATTGTTCTCTTATCGCAAGTAGCTCCGCGAGCACTTCGTACGCAATTTCGCATTTGTCGAGGAGGAAAGTTTCGCGTTTTTTTCCACGTCAATGGCTGCGAGAAGACTGAAATTTTGCTCGCAATTTTGCAATCTGGACAACGAAAATAAATTGAGCGGGGCGTGTGTTTTCGTGCGATGCGGTAACGGTAACGCGAGACGTATTAACGGGAGGAAAAAGTAAGCTCCGCTCCGGGAATTTTGCAGCTGCCGCGGGGATAACGACGCGAATGCACGCGTCGTCGTAAACTATGTTTTATGGGCTGTTCGCTACGGATACGGGTCGACAGCTTCTCTCGAGAGATCGACGGAAAAACCGGCGCGTTCCGGAATCGGCAGATATAACGGTTCGCGCTTGCGAACGCGAATTATCCGACACGCCAGTTCACAACGGATTCCTTTGAGATCATTTGAATTTGCGATTTTTATTTCACAATGAAGAAAATGAGTTTTCGTTTAGCATTATTAGACTCGGCAGATTGCTCAAGTGTAGGCAAGTATGTGCACGATACTTTTTATATTTAACGAAGAAATTTTCTTCTCTGCAGAAAATTTCAATTTTAAAAATTGCCTCAAAGAGACTTCAATCGCGTTTATTCAAAGTAAAGATGGAAGATTTCAAACACGTTAGTGTATAATTTTCCTAAAAACTTTAATGGTAAACGTAACTATTTTATTTTTAAATTCATTCTTAATTGTTTGTTAATATTTCATGACGTTTCTAAAATCGAAATCTTATTTCGTTTCGTACTTATTCTAATAAATATAAATGTAGTATATTCTGGGCCATTTAATTTAGAAATGGGATAAGTGAATATCTTATATAAAATTATGACATACTCGTCTCTTCAACATTTATCATTAATAAACCAAAGAACTTTTATTTGACAATTGAGACATTTTATTCCAGGTATTAGATAATTGAGAATTTCATTTCGGTGAATAGAAAGACGATTTGACAAGACGATGTGACAATATAAATTTTCTATAGACTATTTTTATTTAGTGTCCTACATTTCCCTGCGTCATAATCATAAGACAACGAAAATCACGTGTCTTAATTTTTTTTTAATTTATCATTACTAAATATGACAGTAACAAATAAGCAAAAATTTCATAGAACTTGTATTTATTTTAAAAATATTGTACCTATTTTAAAAAATAATTCGTTACTTACACGGTATATCCAAAAAGTAATCTTTTATGTCAATTCATAATAAAGTAAATGTCAGGATCATATTTAAAGAAAAATTATTTTCCGTTTGCGACTGTCTTTTTAAAAGTACGCGGTAATTAAATTTTTAATTTCTAGAATGAATAGAATTTTAATTTGCATTTTATGTAATTGTCTTTTTTTAAAACATGCGATGTAATTAAATGCAAGCATGTTGAAGTAAAAATAAAAATAGAATAAAATGTGAGATGGAAATTTAAACGGACGTATTAAGATATATTAATTGTTGATGCGCACACGCAAGATTCAAGATGGTTTGCCTTGCAATTCGTGGGTGGCGACGCGCGGTCAACCCATCGCGAAGACCGCGAGTCTATCGATTTGTTAATAAAGACACCCCTACGCAGACCAATCACTCATACCTCCCTTTGACCGCGGCGAGGAGGATCGTCGAGATCGATACGCGAGTCTACAGCAGTTTCATAGCGCCGTGTTTGATTGCTCTTGTAGCTGGCTGCCGTTCCGAGATATCGATGTTATTGATATCATAGTTTTGTCCCGAAGTTATCAATAACACCGATGCAACAACAACTGCAGCCACGTTGCAGAATTTATACATTTGAAAGTTACACAGAAAAGCATTGGAAAGTTACACAATAAAATGCAAACTTTGCCGTTTCGCATTGTTTGTCTTCATCGTGAACATCGAAATAAAATGCTTGTAAAAAAATAAACGGGGAGAAACCAAATGCCTAATTATAACGTTTTGGAATACGCTTAGCTTAGAAAATTTCAAGAATCTCGTGGAAATCACGATCGATTGCTAAATCAGAGAAACCTGGTTTTTGTTTTACAGCTACGTCGGCGGTAATCGTAAAGGCGGAGACCGATACCCGTCATCTGGCGAGTCTGTCCGGAGACGGCACGGGGGTGAGAATAGGACGCGGTGAGGACGCAGTCGCGAGTGGCAGCAGCATCAGCCCTGTTATGGATTCGGCGCAATCGTCCATGATGAAGCAAGCGGACTACGTCGTAGGTCAGTGAACTGAATCCGCGATAGAAAATTTTCTCCGCTGCCGCGAACGCGATTTCTCGCGAGTCGAAAAAAGGCTTTCCGGTCTCGTTAATCAATGTGATTATTAATTAATGCGATAATTATTGATTGTTGATCGCTTCGGTATCTGCGTTATCGAGGCGACGCGAGTGAACTCGTGATGCGCGAGCTCGGAATTGTTTGCACACAAAGAATCGAAATTATCGAATAATTAATCCGATATTGGTGTAAATATTTCCAAATTAAAGAACTTCCACATCGTCAAAATATCACCGAAATCTCAAATTGCGAATACGACTATCAATTTTATCGCGAATAATAAAAATATAAATATGTAAACAATGTGAATTTTCTATATTATTAATTCATTAAAGTATAATATTCGTGCGGGCCGATAAATAATTTGATTAATATTCAGGATGATGACAGCAATTTCACGAGAGAAGCTCTGAACACGCGAACGATCAAAGTGCATCGCTAAATCGAATCAACGCGATGACACAGCACGTTAGCTGATCGATATTAATCAAATCTGTGTTATGTTACAGACGTTGTGCTGCCAACGGTCCTAATTGCTTTGCTGTTCGTCGGCAATGCGATCATCGTTTATATCATCTTCCAATATAGAAAGAGGTAAGCGAACTCATTCATCACATTTCATTGAAATATTTGCTAAATATAGATGTGATGTAGAAAATGATGATCAACGGCGTGAATGTATTCTTTGACATATTTAAATTCAATCAAAATTGATATTTTATTGCATTTCAATTGATGTGAGAAAATTTCGAACCATATTTTTCGAAAATACTGAGATGTATTTTAAATACATAATGTTTGAAAAACTAATTATAATTATTGCAATAGAAATAGGGAGTATAGAGATAATTAGTGATAATAAAATATTTTGATTGATTTTCATTCAATTTTCACAAATCCATTTTCAGAATAAATAATTTGACTTACCGATATCGCAGTAGAGCAGCGGAGTTGTAGATTAACGTTGATCTGTAACAAACAAATATTTTCAAATTATAGTATACGCAAACCAAGTATAATATTATATCAAAAATAAAATTTCTTATTAATTCTTCAATCAAGTATTTAATAAAAGAGTAACAAAATCTCCAAAAGTAATTTTTTTGCATGTGTAAACTTTTATGAAATATTTTGCAAATAATCTAATGTTTATATAAATATAAATAATTATGACTTTTAAACTGCATATTTATAAACATTAAAAATTGCTAATATTTTATTAAATCATAAATAACAAATTACCTTATCGTTGCTCCGCTGGTGCCCGACGCCTCCTAGGCCGCCTCCTCCTCTCAGTAGTCCATCGGTGATTACTCCTCTTTGGCACAACACTCACTCGCGTAAACAATACGATCAATTATATTTCTGCACGTTCCGATAATAATAATACGTCGCGTGATACTTTGTACGGCACTCCCGATGCAAATTTGTTCTTGATATTACGAACGTCGCGCGACACTATACGACACTCCCGACACGCGCTTTATCGCATCATCACGATTGCGCGACACTTCTTACGGCACTTCCGAACACATACTTAGTTGATGACAAAGTAATAATTAATGTCCCGCGAACCGGCACGAAAGATTTGACTTGCCAACCACCACAGCGCAGCAGCAGAGTTGTAGATTAACGTTTATCTGTAACATACAAATATATTCAAATTATAGTAAGCCCAAACTAAGTACAATATTATATTAAAAATAAATTTCTTATTCATTCTTCAATAAAATATTCGATAAAAGAATAACAAAATCTCGGAAAACAAATTTTTTACATGTGTAAATTTTTATGAAATATTTTGCAAATAAAAATTCGAATGTTTATACAAATATAAATAATCATAAACTTTAAACTACATATTTATAAACGTTAAAAACTGTTCATATTTTATTAGATCATAAATAAATAACAATTACCTTATCGCTGCTCTGCCGATGCCCAATGCCCCCTGGGCCTCCTCCTCCGCTCAGTAGCCAATCGACGATTGTTCTTCTCACTCGCACAATCACTCGCGTAAACAATATGATCGGTTAGGTTTACGCGTGTTTTGATAATAACAATACATCGATCGCGTTATATTTTATGCGGCACTCTCGATGCGAATTTTCTTTTAGTATTTCGAACATCGCGTGATACTTTGTACGACACTCCCAACGTGAATTTGTTCTTTGTCTTACGAACTTCTCGCGACATTTTGCACGGCATTCCCGACACGAATTTCTCGCCGGTATTATCGTCGCGTGACATTACACGGCATTCCCGACTTGCGCTTTATTATCGCATCATTACGATTACGCAATACTTTTCACGGGTTTTCTGAACACGTACTTATGTTATTTTGACGGTTAAGATAATAAAAACCGCGAACCGGCATGGAGGCAACAATGCATGCAACACTCGCGACATCCCGGCGGTAACAGCGGCGGAGAGAATCAAAAGTCGCGCGGCTAACTTCGCGCGCCACCCGCCGCAATGCTATCTACCTAATCTACAATTCCTTCTATTCCCGCCATTTCGGGAAAGAAAGAAGCGAATGAAAAGAATGACATGCACTCGCGCTTTGGACTATTTAGACCGCTTTCTTACGACGATATGAACAAATAAACGACAGTCAAAGATTGATAATGCGGTAATAAAAGAATATGACCATCGGCTTTTGTCGATTTGCGCGGAATGGCAAAATAAACGAGTGAATTTTTATCGAGCAAATTCCGCGTTTTGACGAAATATTTATATACAAGTGTATAATAGACGCGCAATGCGGCTAATATATGTCGCGATACGAAGTTAATTATGACTATACTTACTAATTAATAGCGTCACGACGGTACTTCTTTTCAGAAACGATTCGTCCCGTGCCCGTGTCGTACCGGAAAAGACCCCAAATTTCGAAACTTTACGCCGCATCAGATGTACGGCGACTACTAGAGTCAAAGCATTTAACCAAATGGCGGCATATACGAATTTATTATGTAAATCAGCAAAATATTCAAAGAGCGTGATGCGATGAATTGATACTCGAATTTAAATTAACTATCGCCCGTTGAATATATTATTTCTATCCATTATTTTTTATTTCTATTAGAAATGTATAAATCGCGCGATAAATACTATTTAACAGATAACCTTACTATGATACTCGCTGTTTTCTATCGCGAAAGTTAATTAATTGTTTGAATTGATGATTAATAACGTCTTGTAAGGAAAAAGATTGCGTTTGGTTAAGAAATAATCTCTTATCGCGAAATATTAACGCGAGAAATACGACTCAAATCTTTAATTCCAATTAGTCGCACGAATTGAGAATCAATAATTGTTTGTTCGTAAGAAAAAGAATCGTTTAATTAGGAAAGATACTCGCAAATGTATTTTGAAACGGTGTGGAGCGATCCCCACATCCTACTTCGTTACGCGCCGCCGTGTGAATGAGCTAACGACCGACGTAGGCTGAGCGACCGGCGTGTCCTTACGCGAAGCGCTGAGGTCGCGCGTTACAAGAAAAACCAAAACATGCCGAACACGCGACCAATTCTTGGAATTTTAACACATTTTGAAACATTTAATATATCGTGAAATAATATTACGCCTATTTTCTGTTTCACATTTAAATTTCGATATATTTCGTTTCAAATATTACTATCGCTTTTTGTATATCTATTTTGTAGATTCTCGCTGTGTTATAAATGTTATAAAATTAACACGCTATAAAATATTATAATTATAAAATAAAGTATATATATATATATATATATATATATATATATATATATATATATATATGTATTAATATAATAAGACCATGATTAAAATTATTATACTAAATCACGCAGATAACACATTCTAAAATAATTAACAAAATAATGACTAAGTTTGTTCTGTCGCCAATGAATAGTATTGTGCGAAATAAAAATGATAAAAGCATTAAAAAATAATAAATAAATAAACGTGATTTTTTTTTCGTATTTCAGAAAACTTCCAACGACACAGGGCGAGGAGATGGCCCTTCGGGGTCCGACCGACGTGCCCCAAGTGTGATTCCAGAGGCCCGAGCTAATCGCACACGTGGTCGTCGGTACCATCGAGAAGTCGTCATTGATGTCCGAGCCCATTACGGCTACCGAGTCCACGTGGAAGACGGAGATCGTCGCGAAGATGCCACCATCAGATCGAAAAGACCTAAGAGACTCTCAAGCTCTCGCGACGATTCTGTGCAATTAGCTGAAAAATTGCCGCACTCGGAAAGAGCGGAAAAACGCTTTTCTCCTTCATGAAAATTCTATGGCGGTGTTCTTATCGCGCATAATGTAGCTCTGCTTAAATCTGAGAACTCTTCGCATTACCTAAAAGAATGAGATACAAAATCATATAACTATATTGAAAGGTAAAAAGTGCGCGGAGAAATTCCAGACAGCTCTGTACTTTTCTGACTAAATGTATACTTGATCGCCTCGCGTTTACAACGAACGCATCTTCAAATCGCGTTCGGAAATTTATTCAAGAGTAATGTTGAGGAATAATAATTGTCTTTTGGAACAAAATACGTTGCCAAAAAAGACCCGATGTTCCCAGGCGTTTTAAATATGAACAGACTATTATCGGTTCGATACTGTACAACTCATGAGCCTATTACGTCATGACCTTACATACACTCACTTACTCTGTATTATAATGTAAGGAAATAATATATTCTATACTTCGTCCAGATTGTGAATAAGTTAAAAAATAAATCAATGTTTTTTCTTAATAGCCGTCTGCATTTGCATTATTTACCATCTTCACTCCAAAAACTGATTTTTAACTTTGAAGAAACTCGATGCTTAAGTCGCTATTTCCTGAATTTGTTTTGCTACACTTGTATAAATTTTTAAATTATTTTCTATGCATCTAACTATCCTCAAATCCTGCAAAATAATAAAAATATTAAAACATTATGATTTAATGAACGGAAAAGTTTTTACTGTAAAAACTAATTATTTATTATAAAACTTATTACATTTAAATTTAAATTATTTAACTATTATTTAATTGCAACACTAACTACTATATTTATATTTAAAATATGGATATCTGAATCAGCGCTCACAGAGATTTAAAAATACTTCTGCAAAGGCTCTCCTAAAATATCCTCTAAGGTACGAACAGCATTTTGCGCACACTTCTCCGTATCTTCGTCTTCATCTTCTAGCATTTCCGCCAAGAATGGCACGGTTTCCGGTAATAATGGCATAAAATCTTCGCCGAGCTTTCTTGCAATTTCCACCTAAATCACGATGGCAAAAAATTATACATAAAATAGATGAAGAAATTAATAAGAAAAAATTAAAATAAAGACATGAGAATAGTAAAAATAATTCCTACATTAAAAAATTAAAACAAACTGAAATTCCAAGAGCAAATTATCTTAAAGTAATTCTTATTTCATCATAAATTAATTAATTTTACATAACGTTCTGTCAGCTATTTAATATATTGAAAAAAATAAAGATATTATAAAGTAAAAATCTCAATGAGATTGCATTATTTAAATTAAACTACTAAGTAATAAAAGATTAACTATTGTCTCATTTTACCAGTGCAATGAGAGCGGTGCTCCTGACATAAGGCTTTGCATGTCTGGTCTTTAGCAACGTTTGATAGACTAGCTGTTTATGCAGCGAGTCGTCGGGAATAGCGCTGGTAAAGGAAGCAATGCAGGGTACGATCAAGCGACTAGCCCGGCTTTCGTATTCCTCTCGCGTGCCCATCGTGTTCTCCACCTGGTCTACTATCGGCTGCATGAGAATCTCAAATCGCTCCTGACTGACGAAGTTATGCGCATCGTAGCTAAACACTCGATGAAGCGTCAGCAGAATCGCCTCTACCAGCTCGATTCGGCGCGATTCATCCGGAAGCGTCAATTCCTGAGGAACATCCGTGACGAATGTGTTGTTGCTGCTCAGCAACGACGCTGCGTGCCTCAAAAAGAGTCCGGCGAACAGGACGAATAATGACTTCAAGCACTCCGCAATATTTGCTGATAGTCTAAAAAAATAAAGCCTTATTTAATATAAGAATTTTTACAGATATTTCAAGATTTTCAAACATATTTTTGCAGACAAGTATGATCATTCTAATTAATCAGTAATGGTATTTTGCTGTATTAATAATAATTGTATCAAATTATACATAGTTGTATTAAAAAATAAACATACAAATCCGTGTAAAATTATTTTTAATTAAAATCTTGATAATTTCATATTTTTTGAGTTTATATTTCTAAAATCAAAATGTAAGCAATACCTTTATAGCTAAAATTTAATTATTGAAAGCAATGCCTGCTTAATTATGATTATAATTATTACTTATGTTAATATAATACACAATGTTAAAATGTACCTATTATTGATGGATTTAATGCTCAATTTGATTATATAATGCTAATAGATCAGCTGAAATTCTAACTATATAAAAATAAACCGGCAATAATATGTATTAATATTAATATTTTATATGCATTTGCAAGTATTAATATTAATAGATATTAGATACGTATTTGTAAGTATTAATACTAATAGATTTGATTGTTCATACGTGTAGAATGTTATATTCCGCTGCTTGTGCTGCGTATCGTTCGCTGCCCATCCGTAGAGTTTGTTGTACAACGGTTTGAAAGTGGCCTCGCTTAACTTCAATACCAATGCTACCAGCGCTTTGCTAGCGCCCTCCTCAACAGCAATGATATCCTTCGAGATAGCTGTCGCATCCTCCGTGTCCTCGATGTCCTCGCGGAATTGCAGAACCTGGAGGAAGAAGTTGGCGAGATTGTTAATCTCGACTTTCAAGTCAACCGGTTGCACACTGTCGAAGGATACTGCCAGCACGCTCATCAGCGACGGTATGCATTGATAAGACTTTTTTTTCAATAGGATCTTATAAGTCCTGTCAACAGCCGGCAGCAACACTCGCAGCGGTACGCAGCTGGAGAGCTTCTGCGTCGTCGTCTTCAATCGTGAAACTACGATACCAATCTGCACAAACATTTTTATATTTAATTTCTCGTAATTCACAAAAAATATTAATCAATTGCGACATAAAATTAGAATTTTCTACTAAAACTTTTTTTAAAATTAAAAAATATATTTAAATTATTTCACTGAATAAAGCTCCCAAGGATTCTATATTTTGATTCTTTGTGAAAAAGAACAATTAGATACCTTAGGATGTTCGGTGTCGGTATATAAAGAATTCAACCTCGTCAATTGCAATAGAAGTTGATCTAGATAGAGCGATAGGAAATTTCCAAGAGATTCCACTATTTTCTGCAAAGCGCTCACAATACTAATGACTATCACATCCGGCACGTTCTGATGACAATGAGTCTCCAATAACTTCAAAATCGCCGGCACAAATTTGTTTAGCGAGTGTAGAGCGTATGTTTTCATAGAGCTGCATAATTCTGCAACGCATAAGGCTGCACTGGCTAACACTGGACCGTCTTTTGATCGTAACAGTTCTGTCGTCAAATCCAAGATCTAGAAGTAATTATTAGATATGTAGTGTAAGAAAAGAATACAATTATTAAAAAAGTGAAACCCTTACATTAAAAAATTTATAAATCTTAAAAAATATTAATATTTAATAAACATTTATTATTTTTGAATATTTTGAATATTTCTATATTATTACTCCGATAATTTTGAAATAATTAAATTATTCAAATAATTTTATATACTGCTGCAACATTTAAAACGTGACATTCAACAATTTATAAAAAAAAATGAAATGAATTAATATACATACCGGTTTAAAAACAGCGGGATGATCAGTAGCCAACAATTTTGCCAACAGTTTCAAGGATATCAATACCGTCTGTTGGACAATCTCCTGTTCCTGGGTTTCGGTCTTCATCCTAGAATCGAGGAAGTACATCAACGACTCAATCAGATTCAGAAGATCGACGTAATTCTCCTCGCCGAATTTCCTTTGCATTAATCTCGCATTCAGCAGCTCTAGCGCGTTTTTCTTCACGGAAAGAAACTCGTTCTGCAGCAAGTTCTTAACGCTCTTCAGGAATAGATTGTTCGGCAGCAAGTTGTTCACCAGATCCAATACATCGTACAGATGATGCAGCAGCACCTTCCAATAC